GACCTCCCTGACTAGGGGATATTTTCCCAGGTCATTGAACTATGAGAATAAACTACAAAAATGTCATGGTGACATGAGCAAAAGTGTTCCAGGCAGAGGGAATGGAAGTGCCCAGAAGTGGGAAAGAACTAGAAGCGTTCAGGAGCTTCATGAGTGATAGAGAGAATGGTGCCAGGCAGGCCAGAACCAGAAAAAAATGTCGGATCTCACAGGTTATCGTAAAGAATTGAAATTACATTATGTGAGTAATCGCAGCAGGGCTGTATGTTTTTTAAATATTGTGCTTCCATATCATATATATATATATATATATATATACACACACACATACACACACATGTATATATATATATATACATATATATGTATATATATGTATGTATGTATGTAATAAAAAATTACATATAAAGATTACAATGAAATACAGAAGAACGAGATTTAAAATATGGAGAGCAGTTTAGAGGCTATGACAGGAGCCCGTGAAAGAGAGAAGAGAAACATGTCTTGGATTAGGACAGGTGGCAGAAAACAGAGAGAGAACACTATGCATTCAAGATAAAAATCTGCAGGAATTGATGGATTATATTTGGGGATAGAAAAGTGAAAGCATCAAGGATAATTTTTTTTTTTTTACCCTAGAAAATGGATAGATGGAAAAGACTGAGAAATGAATAGATTGTAGACAGGAAGACAAAGAGTTCTGTTTTGGATGTTTTAAGTTTTCAGTATATAATTAGTCATCCAACTGGACATGTCAAGTAGACAGATTCATGAGTCTGAGGCTCAGGGGAGAGTTTTGGTCTAGTGATTGGCATTTGGGAGTGTGGCGCATACAGATGACAGGTAAAACTGAAACTAAATGGAGATCCTCTAGAAAGAGTGTTGGAGAAGAGGAGAGGAAAGGAGGAGAGAGGCAGGGAGAGGAAAGGAGGGGAGGGGAGGGGAAGGGACAGCCTAGGCCTCTGAGGCACTGTGTCACGCTGAGGTCCATTCAGGGAAGAGGCCCAGGAAAAGGGCTGGAGGGGGTCGCTGAGAGAAAGGACGGAACACATCAAGGGAGGCAAAGGGAGAAGGATGCTCATCCGTTGAACTGGAAAATTTGGGTAAATACTAGACTGTGATTACAGCCACCTATTCCAGGTAAATAAGCAGCAACATTTTAAACCTCTGGGTTATCTGTTCAGGCCTTGATTACACTCAGAGCAACAGCCAAGATAGAGAAATTTTCCACCACCCCTTGTCTGACGTTTGACTCTCGAAAGGCAATTCAAAAACAAAATCATCAAAGCAATAAAAATATATGTTTGCACCCAATTATGTATTTCACCCTCAAAGCACATATATTTTTGTGAACGTGAGATAGTTTTATCAACAGATAAAAGTATCATAGTATGCGAGGTGGTGGTGTGACTTTTGGTAAGGTATTTATTTTATACTAACAATAAAACCTCATTGTGTTATTGTTGCCAGGAGTTTGGGTGACACCTCGACACATTATCGTCAATTCTACAACAGTGGAATTGTATTGGAGTCCGCCGGAAACGCCCAATGGCCTCATTTCTCAATACCGGTTGAGTCGTAATGGAACCTTCGTCTTCCTGGGTGGCCAGGAGAAACAGCACTTCACTGATCAAAACCTGGAGCCTGACAGCAGGTAAATGGAAAGCAAACTTTACCATTTATACAGTTAGATTTTTAGATTTCTCAGGGTTAAAAATGAGGATATCTCCAACTGAAACAGTATTAATTGGTTAATTGATCCCCTCATTCATTAGCCATTCCATAGCTGAAGAGATCTTTTCATCCATTTCAGATGTCAGTGAATCAAATGCTAACTCAATAAATTAGACTCCAGAGTACACAAAATTCCTTAAAAATGTAAAATCTTTTACATGGCATGAAAGCATGAAAAATTTTAACTATTGTATATAAAATACAGTATTAAGCTTAAAAATATATATATATATATATATATATCATGTTAACTTCAAAAACATATGTTCCTAAACTAGCAGTTAAAGCAATTTAAAGAGTTTTGTTTTACATCAACTACCTTTTTTTCTGGTATATTTTCTCTACTTGCTATACTTTATACAGCCATGAGTGGTTTTAGGGGAAAAAGTTTCACATAGTTGCAATTCATTCCAATTCACCTCTCAGCAGAGACAAAATACATCTTAGATCAACAGATGGTTTATTGCAGAGAGTAAAGATCAATTTATAAACATCTTTCTCTAAAGGTATTTCCCTGAACCTCTAACCCATTTAAAAATGGGGAAAATTAATTTGAATCCTTCACAATCCACAAGCACACTTCAAGACTTGGCTGAAATCTTTAAGAAAAGCAGTGAATTACTAGAGGGTTAAAACTAAAGTGGGGCAGGGCTGGGGAGTGCAGAAATAGTGATGGTTTCATGGAAACATCGCTGCCTGTGCTAGAAAAAGTACCAAGTTTATGCTAGTGTTTCTGAACAGGGAGCAAAGAATTTGCAATTTGTCACAAATTTAGGACTAAGCAACAGATAGAAAAACCAGCAATCCTTGTTCAATTCTCTTGTGAACTGCCTCACCGCAATTTTTTTTTTTAATATAGGTACATTTACAAGTTGGAAGCCACAACTGGAGGTGGCAGCAGTTCTAGTGATGAATACATTATACAAACACCTATACTGACACCAAAAGAAATCCAGCCTCCATATAATATCACAGTCATTGGGCCATATTCCATATTTGTAGCTTGGACCCCACCAGGTAAAGAAATAAAGTGTGTGTGTGTGTGTGTGTGTGTGTGTGTGTGTGTGTGTGTGTGTATTTAAAACATTTTAGAGGAATGTAATTAGAAAATTGGAAATAAGGATAGAAATGTAAACTTGGTAAATCAGAAGGAAATAATCTGTTTCCTAGATAAATGTAAACAATAATCCAAACTACACTCTGAAAGTATGCATGCTTAAGTATTTGCATACGTGCATATAGACAGATGCAGACGTAGTTTACATAAAGATATCAAAGCAATGCTTTCTTTCAAGTACCAGAGCCTAAAAATTGTTCTTCTTATTCACATATACCCAAGGTAAGTAAGTCATCCAGGTCTGAATTGCCTTGACGATTCGTGTTTATGGGACTCCTTAGATTGGTCACTAGGGTTATAGGGACCCCCTCTGTGTTATGGCAGTGAGTGGGGGGTTTAGGAAGAGAGTAGCCAGCCTCGCCCCCGCGCCTCGGCTTTTGACCAGTGCCCGTAGCTGAACTAGGTCTCCGTAAGCTGTACAGCCTCCTTTCAGCCATTTAGTCGCTAGTGGGTTCCTTTTGTGGTTTAGTGCATTATTATATTTTGAGGTAAGCATCACGCTCAGGTAAAATTCTGATTGCATTAACACAGTGGCGTAGGGATCCGAGTGAAATCCGCTTGCTTTGTTTTTTTAACTTAAGGGACATACGCATATAGAGGTTTTGTTCCAGTAAAATTTAAAACTGATTAAGGTGTTAAATACACTTCAAAGATAATGTGATTTTATTTATGTTTTTTATCAGTGAGTGCAGTTTTATTTTTAACATCTAGTCAGTTGAAATTGAAACAAATTCCTATTGTTCCCAACAGAGCAAGTTTAGCCACAGCTCAACACAGGACGGAAAATAATGGGTTAGCAGGCATTTGCCCATCACTGGAGTCATTCTATAAAATAATTAGCAAAGACATATTTTTCATTGACTTGAAAAGTTATTTCAGTCAATACAGGTGATATAGTCATAAAGATAACATAACGGGCACGTGTGTGTGTGTGTGTGTGTGTGTGTGTGTGTATAAAACTTCTCATAAACCAATATCCATTTGATGTCATAATCTAAGATCTAAGACTCAAGGGTCTTTTTCTTTTTCTTCCAAATTCACAGAAGAAAATCTAAGACCTTTATAAGCATAATAATAATAATAACAATAATAATAATAATTTGCTCTGTGACATTAAATCTAAATTATTTCATTCACCTTTTTGAAAAATAAACACACGGCAGGCACATTAAAGCGTGCAGGGATAGTCAGGGGTGCCGCTTGTGCCCTTAAGGACAGTGACCTGCATCTAAGCCTGAGGACCGCTGACGTTCTTAAACTCTGTTCTGAGTTTCAGTGGACAGAAACACAAACCCTCCTCAATGGAAAATACACACACTCACATCTCCCCTATGGAACCGATTTCTGCTTTCATGGGATAGCGTTGCTATCATATCTTGTGCTCTTTTTAGCATGCTTCTCCCTGACATGTGGCGTGTTTGGGCCGCAAAGTAAAACAAGGCAGAATAGAGCCAAGTGGAGACCAAACTCAGCCTACCGCCTGGCGAGTTCTCACTCAGGCTGGGGTCTTCTACCGCCCAGAGTGTCACAGAGCAGTGAGCAGAAGTCAGAATCACACAGAGTCGGTGATTCCCCAGCCATGGGACCAGGAATTTCCATGGTTTATCGCATTACCTGTCATTCTGACATCGTGACGCACATAAATGGCCGTTGCTAATCTGAAGACTCCATACTCAGTGAGGATTTGAAAACATCTTTCTTTTAAGAAGAGCAGAGTAGGATGAATGAGAAAACCGGGATGCATATCCCAGGAACACCACCTATCAGCTGACCTTAAATGGGTCATTTTTACTCTCCGAGTCTCACTCACATCCCTCTGTAAACGCGAGATAATGACAGTACCTACATGCAGGGTTGTTGTAAAGATTAAATGAGGTAATTTATATAATTGGCATTATCAGCTTTAAAATATTCTATGGATAGTAATGGTTATTTTTGGATCATTATTTTTGCCTTGAATGACTCATTTTTACATGTATGTGCTCCAATATTTGCTAGGTCTCAAGGTCCCCATTTTCAAAATGATAAAAGTGTACTCTGCACAATTGGGTTAGTAAATTTTTAAGACTTCTTTCAAATTTCCCAGCATTTTGTCTTTTTTTTTGTAAGAGTTCAAGATCATATCTTTATATTCAATGTATAACGTTTCCATTTAGAAAAGATCATTGTGAAATAAAACACAGCTTTTGCTTCTTTCATGTAGCCTTAACACTTGTCTACCTCAAGCTTTATAGAAATTTTTCATTCTAGTCCAGCCTAGGGGATATTGTAGAAATGCTTTCCACGCTAACTCTGGCCATGTAACCAATGGTTAATAAATCTATAATATCCAGACCTGTCAATCTTTTAGTTTCAGATGCACAAAATCCATTACAGAAGCCCAGTAATATATGGAAAGATTAAAATCTTAAATTGAACTTTTTTTTCCGGTGCCTAGAAGGATTTCGAACTCAGTAAACAGGCAGATGATTTTGCCTTATGTATAATCTACAGTTGATTTTATTGGAAAGTACCTCATGCTGTGTTTTGATTTGGATAATAAAAACACTTTTCTGTGTTCCTGAATAGTCACAAATATATGTTTTAAACAGGAAAGAAAACAAATGTGTTATTAACTGGAGGTTGTTTATTTGCTCACAGTCAAGAGCTTGCTAGGTATTTAGTCATCATAGTGTCCTGCTATTACATCACAGGCAGAGCAAAAAAAAAAAATGGGTGAAACAATCCATACCAGGTCCACTCTCTAGTAAGAGCGATCCTTCTTCTCCTTGGCTTAACTCCTAAATCCAAACCATACTCTTTTTATGATGGAGTGACTATGCTTTTTGAAATAGTGGCCCAGAGGGCTGAGAAACAGAATTCAGTATTGGTGAAAACTAAATGATTGTGGAAGAAAAATGTTTTCTGCTGGGCATATAAGACCAGAAGAATTGTGGAAAATGGAAAACTCCTTATGGGAAAATATCTGGTTGGCAATAGTCCTGTCCTGGGGCATGAAGGAACTAGCACCCAGAATGCTTTACTTACCAACCGAAAGTCCAGAATAAATAGACATGGCTTAGCAAACTAGATTCCAGGTGGCAGAAGATTTAAATTCGGTGGCAGAGGAAAAGAGTCATTTCTCAAATACCTCAGAAGACAGAGATTATTCAAAGACTATTTTAAAGCATGGTAGACATTTTTGTAGCTCCCAGGTAAATTCTGTTTCACTGTATTTCATTATTACTTGATAAATATCAGCAGTAGGGCTATCAAAACACTCCAGGCTCTAGAAAATCAAGATTTCAACTCATACGTGTATCATTTGTACCTCTAAATAAGATGATATGCGAACACCGTATCTTTATAAAGTGTTGGCTTTAATTAATTAATGGAGAAACAAAATGGTAAGCCTCTAAAATATATCATTCAGGCAAATATATATTTTGAGTTTTCTGCTATTTAAAGAGATTCAAACACTGCATTTTCTATAGACGCCTATCCCTCCCTCCTCACTAACTCAACCCCATACACACCCACACTGCTTCTTTGGAGGCAAACAGGATGTATACATGTGTTTTCCAAAGAGTGTATTGTTGTATTGTTGTTTTATAGATACATAATTTTTGTCACCTATTTTAGAAAAGGAAATATTAGTTTTTATGTGGAATGCCCCCCCAATTGAATTTCCCTGTGCTCTGAGTTGCCCAAATGTTTTTGAACTTCAGGTTTCTCATCTGTGAAAGGGGATCTTCAATGGCTGCTTTGCATCGCTAGTATGTGAAGTCAGGGAGGTAGCACGGGGTGGGTACCGGCCATGGTTATTCAAATCTGCAGACAGTGTAAACCAGGTTAGTTTATTCCCAAACATTTCTGCTCACCTTCTGCCAGCTCTGGACCTTGGGCCAGGACTCACACATTCACATATGTTATCTTAACGAGTAAAAATTTATAGAAAATGAAGAAGCAAATACTTTATGTAACATAAATGGTTTACTCAAAATAAGAATGGAGATAGATATCCCTCCTGTTTGAGAATCTAAACATTCAAAATTATTTAAACTCTGAGAGTAACAATGTGTCTTTCTAATTTATCAAGGTGGTGACTATATTCTGAACTCTCCTAGCCCTTCATCGCGTTCTAATTAACAATGACAATGCCGTTGCATTCAACACACACTTTTTCTCAATAAAGATGCTAAGTTATTTAGGCTTAGTGCATGATATCGAAATACTGGTGCTTTTTTTTCTCACATTTATCTCTGAGTCCATTAAAGAAAAGAATTGGCAACAATTCTTCTACTGAGAAATCACTTCAATTAATATAGCTTGGGAATAGAAATTCTTTTTATTAATCAAGTTTTGATTAAAGGGTAGCTAGCCACAGTATGGCCTATCTACAGACATTAAGCGTTCAGGGGGCTCAGCTAGATCAGATATTATCCATTTAAAGCCAAAATTGGCATTCATATTTCTAAGGAATTCACATTGCGTTACTTGGGATGATTCCACATTGCCAGTTATTTCAGTTTTCTTATAAGTGTAATAACCAAGTGACAGGCAGTGGTAAGTTTCAGAAGAAATGTAAGTCGTTTTAATGATTTGTGGCTTATTTTACATTTTTTATGGGAACACTTAAGTTCTACTCTCTTAGCAAATTTCAGTAATTATAGAATACAGATCCTCAGGCCGTAATCGTCTTATAACTGAATGATTGCACCCTTTCACCAACCTCTCCCTATTTCTCCCACCCCCTCACAGCCCCTGGCAACCACCGTTCTACTCTGTTTTTAAAAATTCAACTTTTTTTTAGTGATTCGCCTGTAAGTGATACCATACAATATTTCTCTGTATATGGCTGTTTTACTTAACGTAATGCACTCCAGTTTCATCCATGTTGTTGCAAATGGCAGAATTTTCTTTTTTTAAGGCTGAATGATATTCCATTGTATATTTACCACGTTTTATTTATCCATTCATTCGCTGATACACACTTAGGTTGTTTCCATACTCTGGCTATTGTGAATAATTCTACAATGAACAGGAGTATAGCTACCTCTTAAAGATAGTGATTTCATTCTCTTTGGATAAATACCCAGAAGTGGAATGGCTGGATCATATAGTAGTTCTATTTTTAATTTTTGGAGGAACCTTCATACTGTTTTCCATAGTGGCTGCACCAGTTTACATTCCCACCATCAGTGTATATGGGTTCCCTTTCTCCACATCTTTGTCAGCATGTATCTCTTGTCTTTTGATAATAGACATCCTAGCAGGTGTGAGGTGGTATCTTGTTGTGGTTTCAATTTGCATTTCCTTGATGATTAGTGATGGTGAGCAGCTTTTCGAGTACCTGTTGGCCATTTATATGTTCTTTGGAAAAATGTCTATTCAGGTCCTTTGTTCATTTTTTAATTGGGTTATTTGGCTTTTTGCTATTGAGTTATATATATGAGTCCCTTGTATAGTTGGATATTTAACCTCTTATCAGATATATGACTTTTAAATATTTTCTCCCATTTCATAGGCCACCTTTTTATTTAGTTGATAGTTTTCTTGGTTGTGCAGAAGTTTGATGTAGCCCCACTTGTTAACTTTTGCTTTTGTTGTCTTTGCTTTTGGTGTTTCATAAATTTATCTTTATTGAATTCTAATATGTACTAGACATCTTCCTGAGAGATTAACATATCTCATTTAATGTTCATAACAACTTGTAATATGTCCTCTTGGGTTTTTTTCTGTTTTACCAATGAGAAAAATAAATTTAAATGCTAAGCTATTTTCTCTAGGTTATTCATCACATTGGTGTCAGAGCCAACCCACAGTGGATTTGACTCCAAATTCTATGGTCAAAACCACTGTGTTATATTTTCTCACTATTCTCCTCTAAACAGTGCAGAAAGCAAATGATTTTTGTCTTCTGGGTTCTACTATGATACAGTTCAAAAGCTAAAAAAAATTCTGTAAATATAGAAAATATGAATGAGAACAAAGTTAATTCTAAAGCAGTCCACCCAGTAACCCAGCAGCGTAATTTTGTTTGTATCTTAAACTTTATTAGCCTTTGGGTAGAATGATTCATTTATTCATTTTAACTAACATAAAGATGTTAACTGAACCTCTCTTAGGGGCAATGCACGATGCTAGACGCCCTAAAAGTTATGAAAAAGAGTGAGACAGCATCCCTCCTGTTGAGAAAACTGGTAGGGGAGAGCACATAAAATGATAACTATTATAAAAACTGTGTAAAATTTCCATACAACTGGTGTGCATGGGTGTTCAAGAGCATCCTAATCACTTCTGCACCCCCAAAAGGGCATAACCAAGATATCCTGACCTGTACAAAGGAGAATCGAGGCTGATGTGTTAAAAGCAGTATGTTAAGCACATCCAGTGTTTGGAAGCAAATGCCGCTATCAACTGAATTCATAGTTTACCTCTTAGAATTGTTCCTGCTCCAGCTCCTAAAAAAAGATTTTTATAAAGGATTGTTTGATTGACTATCCCATCATAAAGGATGCACCTGCTGTGAAATAAATCCACAGGGGGAAAAAAAGTTGAATAATTTAACTTTTTTATTTGTAAAGATAATCAGGGTTTTTCTGATTACATCTTAACTTCATAAATGTTAAATAACCTATCAGCATCTAGTTGTTGTAAATTATGAAAAGGAGCATTGCAAGGAATATTAACCAACGAAATCCTTGTTCTTTAGCGAACACGAAAATGTGTTATGGCAGCTTGTCATTGTGCAACTGGTAACTTTGACACCAAATAACGAAACTGCCATTTGCACTTAGGGTAAATTGGCTCACTGGAGCTTGCAGGGCTCCTCTTGGTCTGACATAAATTTATGAACTCGGGAACTAACCACCTCGCTTGGCTTCCCAGCTGACTTGAACAAATACGCCCATTTCATCTCATTTAGTCATCGGGATACCAGGGGGCTAGGTCTGTGCAGACTCATTGCAGATGGCGTAGGGTCTGCAGGAACACAGAGGGCTTTCCTGTCACCGTCCTGGACGCCATGACAGTGGAGGGGGGCCCCGTTTCCTAAATGCATGTCAGTGTTTCGCATGTTCACAGCTTCAAGGAGCATTTTCTTTTGCCACACCTCATAGGTATATGTAAAGGATGTTTGTTTCTGGTTAACCAATATGTGAGAAATATATTTTCCAGATTCACGCTTCAGCTAGCCATGTTTAAACCTCGATCGAGATTATGTCTATGTTTGAACTAGGGTGGAAGTATAGTTTTGCTGCCTGAGCCCCTAGGAGTCCTGTCCTTTGAAATAGAGAAGTTACTGAAGGCAGGCCAGTAGGTACAGACTGAAAACATACAGTAAAGTGCAACCACAGACACATTGAAGGGAAGACCACTCAAAATTTCTGCTGAGAATGAAAAAGAGACTATCTCCCTGGGAATACAACTTGATCATATCCAAGTGTACATAAAAAATAAAACTAGATGACAAAATATTGTAGTGAAGATAATTACTAGAATGACTATAACATTTATTTGTAATTGGAATAGCAGCTTTATATAAAATTTGGGCTCGGAAGTGTTTGAGGGCACATAAAAATGTTGTCATCGTTGTGTGTTTTTTCCATTTTCTTCAGTTTCGTTTGGTTTTGTAGAGACGTCTATCATTTATTCAGCACTTTCTATGTTGAAAGAATACACTACGATGCTTTGTGTTCGTTTTCTAATCTAATCATTACAGCTCTTTATGAGGTGGCTGCTGGTATCATCATTGTACAGATGAAGAGAATGACGTTCATAGAACTGGGTCATTTATCAGGGACAGATAAGGGGTGGGCTTACCAGGAACAGAGGAGGGGCCTGATCTGCCTGACCCCACTCAGTGTTTTGTCTAGACTCTAGATCCACAAGAATGATGACATATTTTTCAAATGTGTGTGTGTCAAACTTTTGTACAAGGTCTACCCTCGGAACAGATAAGGCAGAATGAACGTTCATTCAGTCAGTCATCATTTATTGAGCTGTGGCTTTGTGCACACATCTAGGCATTAGAACTGCAACTGGGGAGGAGAATAAAGTCCCTGACTATACAAAGTTGACATTCTAGGTGGTATTCAATGAGATCATGTACTCTGCCTTGTATAAAACAGGAACATGGTGAAATGGTTATTCGTGCGTGTGTCACTGTTGGAACCACGGAGTAACTTTGAAACAGGGATCCTCTCCTGCTGTCTCATGTTTTCAGTCCAACATTTGCCCCCCAGCAGTGTTCTCTTCCTGAAAAATAGGTTAGATCATGTCAGCATCTTCAAAGTCGTTAGTATTTATAAGCCCAAATTTCATGAAGAGATAATTTATAAGATTTAGAGGTTGCTTGAGCTTGAGAGTGAAGAAAGCAGAGTCTACTCCAAGAATCTTACTCTTAGGGTCTTCCTGAGGCCTCAGGCATCGGGAAATGGGGAGAGGAAGCCCTAGAAGCAGAACAAGCTTGGGAGTAGAAACTAGAGTCATTCCATTTTGAGCCTGTTGAGACTGAGGCCTTTGCTTAGTCAGCTCTGGAAAATACAGATCTGAAATGCAGGGGAGATACACACTGGAGATAAGAATTTAGGAATCAGTGATAGAATAACTGTAATTGAAGCTACTAGGACAAACGCAACAGCTAGATTAACTAGGATGCTCTACATTTAAAATAAATTTCTCAGTCTGGCTTCAACAACCTAGCACCTTTCCAAAGGGAAGCCATTGATCAGGCCCTCTCTCTAGGACCAATATTTCCCTTAGAGCCTCCTCATTTTCATCTATTTCACACAAATTTCTAAGCATCTCTGGTTTGTACTAGCCCTTCTGCCCCTTATATATTGGGGCTATATTTACAAAAAGCAAAACCACATTTTATTCTTTAGACCTTTTCGCTCATGGGTTATTGAGTCCCATGCTGTAGATTTCATTGTTTCTATAACAAAGATAAACTTAAGTACTACAAAGGTAAATAACTAAACCCACAAAGGTTATGAGTACCAGATCAATGAGAAAATTTAGTGTGAAACTTCATTATACTCTTCTTTCAAGGCCCATTTCCTCTCCTAGAACAAGTGTGCATGCTGTTCATGACGAAATGCAATTTACTGGCATTTAATTCTATGAATAGATTGTGAAGAGGCTAACATGACCAGACCTTCTTTCCTTAGGAAGCATTGTGAAAAATGACAGTTTTTGAACCCAAATTTCATATGTATTTAGATCTGTAAGTCTCACTGACAGAGTGGACTGCCCTGACTCAATAATGAATGCACTGGGGAATCTCTAGGTGGGCTATAATTTGGATACTTCCTGGGCTGTTATGTCAAGGATCCGTGTCAGATTGGACGCGTACACAATGCCTATAGAGAAATTATTGTCATAAGGAAAACTGGTGTGGTTTTTTTTCTTATGTACTTGAAGAGTACATGAGCCTCGTAAAATATATATGACACTATTTCTAATTGTCTTATATTTTTTAAAAAGTGAAACATGCCCTCATTTTTATTTGCCTGTAGAATATATGTTTGACTAGAACTATTATACTTCTTTGTTTTTGAAAATGGGTGACCTCTATTTCTTACTTTTGAATTATGCATTCTAATATTTTCCAGCTTAAGTTTCATACTGTTATGAATTGTGATATTAAGCAATAATATCCCTTTAAGTTATAAACATTTAAATATAAAATGTCCTTAAAAGACAGACATTCGTTGACCATCCTGTATCGCATAAACCTATGTCTTGACTCTTTCTCGCTTTTGAAGGGACCCTCATCCCCCAAATGCCTGTGGAGTACAATGTCTTACTCAATGCTGGAAGTATAGCACCTCTCATCTATTCTGTCGGTCATCGTCTGTCCACCCTTCTGGAAAATTTGGCTTCATTCACACAGTATGAAATAAGGATACAAGCATGTCAAAATGGTGAGTCTTTCAGACACTTGTCCTGGGCTTTTATGAGAAAGCATTTTATTTTAGAAAACCCCATTAAAAAGGAATAGATTCTCAATCCAAATACAAAGATTAACATTTCTTTTCTTATTTGTATTGGACTGTTTACCCAGAATATCAGAGTATGGCACTGAGTGAAGCATTATGCATCTCTGCACATTAAATCATGAATATTTAAATGTATTAAAATGGTGATATTGCAAAGTCTTGTTTTATAAGGCCCTTTAAAAGATAAACACCTAGATCACATAAAGGAATTATTGGTAATACAATACAAAATGGGTGTTACAAAAATTTCATAGAAAATGTAGTCACCTTGGTTCCATTTGAGTTTTATTCAGGAGGAGACAGTGGAGGTGGGGAGGGGAGACATTATTTAGAAGTTGAGTTATACTCAAATGAATCGTACATACATATTTTAAAGTACTTCCCTGACCCCTGTCTCATGTACATAAACTGTCTACCTTGAGTTTCATGGTCTCAGCGAGTGGTCAGTGAGATCATCATTCGTGTAGTCTTCAGGAGGCGTCTCTTTCACCCCCTTCATCCTTCCAAATGTTTTATATAATATATAACGCACAACTGCTCAGCGAAGAAGAGATGTAACTCACATTTGTGTACAAAACATATTGTTTCACCTTAGATCCAAGAAATGCACCATTCTTACATTAGACACGTAGGTGGAGCTCCCGTGTGACATGTCTGTCCTTAGGAACGTCTGTTTCCGGATGAGTACTAGTCCCCATGGAGTTAGTCAGGACGAGGGGCCTGTGATGTTCCTGGGCTTCGTTCCAAAATTGTGAGTCAGTGTGTTCACTTCTCTCCACAAACCAGACCACGGCCTTTTGGTTTGTAGGGTCTTGCTGCCCCTGATCCAGTCTTCAATTAATCAACATGGAAATGGCTTTAAATTAAGGTTTTCTTGATTTAAATGTAAAATCAACTTCCTCTTCTCTGTGTTCCTAAAACTATCCTATGAAGACACAATATCCTTCAAATTAATTGTTTGATTCCTGTGTATTGAGAGGTGGTCATTACTTTAAAACATTGGCACAAAAGATAGTAAGGGCGTAGAGAAAGCCAAGCCCATTGGCACTCTGGCTAGAAAGGCTGCGATCAGCTAGAGAAACCTCAGTTCAGACATGCATACACTGTGTTGTCTATGCCTATATACATAGGTGTGGGTAACGGATTTTCCAAAAATGATTCCCTGTTCAAACATTCAAATTCTGTAGAGATTTACAGTAGTAGTCTAAAATAGGTGTACAGCCGTGTATACAAAAGTTCAGATAAAATGATTTTCATGATATCCTTAGCCTTCTACATACGTATATAACTCTCTCTCTCTCTCCTTGAGAAATTAATAAAGCCCTCAATTTTTTTTTCAAGGAAGTTGTGGAGTTAGCCGTAGGACATTTGTGAAAACATCTGAAACGGCCCCGATGGATCTAAAACCCCCCATTCTTAGGGCGCTGGGGGCAGCTTGCATAGAGGTTACCTGGATGCCACCTGAAAAACCAAATGGCATCATCACCAACTACTTTGTTCACAGGTAACATTGACTGTTATTATTATTTTTTTATTATTAAGAATGTATCCTATTGCAGGACTGTAGAACCAAATACATTTTCTGTTTCCATAAGGGTATGGAGAGGGGGGGGGGTTCATGATTTTTGAAGTGCCTACTGTGGACTAACATTGGTACTGGAAATGGTTACACATTATCCAAGGAAAGAAAGCACCCACTGCCTGTAACATTTTTATTTGAGCTCCTTTTGAAACGAGATGCCATGGACACGGAAGCCTTACCTTTCGTATGGCAGGGCGTGTAGATGCTCACTGACCAGCGGAACGTGGTCATTCTAGAGGAGGAACCAGGTCTGGGACGGGGATCCTGGCTCCTGCCATCACCCATTATGTGCACGCTGGAAAGGCTTTTTCTCTGCCTGAAAAGGTGGTGCTTTTCATGCGCAGGAAGAGGGGCTTCGTTCTGCAGCTCCCCTTCTGTTTCAACGACTTTCCGCTGAGCTGGCGGATGCTGTTCACACAATTTCTTCTCACCAGTATGTGCAGAATCTATTAAGTGTATCCACCAACAATGAAGGAAGGAAGGAAAAGAGAAAGGGGAGGAGGAGAGGAGGAGAGAGTGAGGGGAGTAAGTGCGTGAGAGGGAAAGAGAGAAACAGGGCGTTTTGGTTTGAAGGGCTTTGCTGTCCCTCACTCAGTCTTCACCTGATCATCATGGGCATAGCTTTGCATCAATGATTTCTTTAAATGCGTCACAAATAATGAGGGAGAGGAGGAGGGTGAGAGGCAGAGAAGAAGAGAAAAGCAAGCAGAGAGAAAAAGAATGAGAATGGGGGAGAGAGAGGCTGAGGGAGAGGGGGAGGGAAAGAAAGGAAAACAGAAGCATCGTCCAGGAGGCAAATGGCCCGTCTGCTGAGAGCTTGCTGTCTGTCTTGGCTTGCTCAGGCTGCTGTAACAAAAATACCATAAACCGTGTAGCTTATACACAGCATTTATTTCTCACAGCTCTGGAGGTTGGGAAGTCCAAGATCAAGGTGCTGGCAGACTTGGTGTCGAGTGAGAGCCCATCCCCTGGTTTATAGAGGGTGGTCGTGTCACTGTGTCCTCACCTGGTAGAAGCAACTGGGACGCTCTGTGGGGCCTCTTTTATATGAGCACCGATCCCATTCAGGAGGCTCCAGCCTCCTGACCTAATCACCTCCTAAAGACCGCACCTCCTAACACCATCACCTCAGGGTTATGGGGCGGGGTGGGCTACAAACATTCAGACCTTAGCACCAAGACAGAAAAGACACCATGTGAATTAGACACATAGACATAAAGGATTTTCAGATGGAAAACCCCATTCCAAAAGAAATCATTTACATCAGGCACACAGAGCACACCTCATTGCTGTTTAGGTCCTCATCCCCTCTTTGCCATTAGGTCCTCATCCCCTCTTTGCCGCCTTTGTTAGTCGCCCACGGGCCTGGCACCGTCCCTGGTGTGGTCCTGCAGCCTGGGTGCATCGTGGAACTTAGCTTAGGCTCCTCTTGCAACGTCAGGTATTGAAACGCTTTGATTGAGAGCAGCCTGCAGTGATGAGTCCGGGGTTTGTAGGAGAATTCTGAAAGGAGACCTTTCTGGTTATGTAGATGGCGTTGCCGAAAATGAGCAAGCCACATTCCTGCTCAGCAAACATTAATTTGAAGAATAATACTTCTGATTCAGATATACATGAACATGTAAAAATGGCTAATGCGAATTTACATTTTGCGCTAAGCACATTAGCGCAGGCTCTAAAATGTCCATCCTCTCGGAATAGTTTCCTTTCATCTACTTAATGCTAATTGTATGAGAAAAGCACATCCAATTCCTATTCTGAATAAAGGAAAATAAAGTATCTGCTATAGGCCAGGACGTGGCTTCACTCTGTTGGTTTTGTAAATAAAGCTCATGATTATGGTGACTATTCCATGGCAGCTATGGAGAGGGAAAACAGGAAATAGAATGCAGAAAGCCCGCTTCAATGAAAAATACTGTAAATTGAATTTGACAGCATTTGATGGCATTTGATTATTCTAGTCACAACCAAACAATGATATAAAGAGTAATATGAAACAGAATGTGTTACTGCCTAGCAGACTCAAAAGCAATAAACCTTCCTCCAATGTGACACAATCACTTCACAATCATAATTGTAGCCTGTTTGATACCTCTGAGTACAGCAGAAGGGCACTGACTGACATAGATACATTTTGTTTTTTATTTAAAGTGAAATGAAAATGGCGCGCTGGGGCTGCAGATACAATCATTATATTCACCTACATAGGCATGAATCACTTGGCCGTTATTTCAGCTGAAGTTTAAATGTGCTTCGACAACAACAATATCAAATTTTTCTTAGATAGCTGCAAAAAAAAAAATCAGAAATTTGTAAGGACAGGAATAGAAGGTAGACACACAGTTCTTTTTCATTCCGGGACTACAGAGAGCCCCTTATAATATAGTTATAGCCGCAGCCTGCAGTATTTTTGGGGAGGTGATGACATGTAATTTCTCCTTCCTCATTTGCCTCCTCTTTCTTCTATTGCCACCAAAGGAAATGCGTTTAGCTCAAACCAAACACAGGGTTTGGCCTATGCAGATATATTCATTACATTGCAGGAAGCTAAGTTGCCAATCCCATTTTGAAATGCTTGTCATTCTACCCTAACTCCCCGAAGCATGTTCCCTCAGTAATCCCCTTCTGTGGTTAATGATACCATCCTGTTAAAAAGTGTCTACCCCAGTAAAGAGACGAGACGTTTATGATTTTTAAAAAACCACAAAACAAATACCTACGAAGGACAAGACTATCAATGCGATTGCTTCTGTTCAGTTTACCTGTTAATCTGATACCGTCATCCCTTCTTATCCAAAGGGGATACATTGCAAGACCCCCAGCGGATGCCTGGAACCACAGAGAGTCCCAGAGCCTACATTAGGCACAGCAAGAGATTAACAACAATAGCTAATAATAAAGAGAACAATTACAGTAATACACTGCAATCAAAGTTATATGAATGTGCTCTCTCACAAAATATCTTACTGTACCGCACTCACCTTTTCACTCGCATGAAGCGCTGTAAGGCTTCTCTCTGGCATATCTGAATTGCCAGCAGCACTACTCTTGTACCTTGAGGCCATTAGTAAGTAAAACAGGGGTGACTTGAACATAGGCACTGCGATACCAGGCAGTCGATGTGACAACCTAGAAGGCTAGTAAGTGACTAACGGGTTGAGAGTAGATACAGTGGACAAAGGGACGGTTCACATCCTGGGTGGGAAGGGGAGGGAAGGCACAAGATTTCATCATACTACTCAGAACGGTGTGCAGTTTAAAACTTATGGATTGTTTATTTCTGGAATTTTCCATGTAATATTTTCACACCACAGTTGGCCTTGAGTGACCGTAGGTACCCCAAACCATGGAAAGCGAAACCATGGGTAATGAGGACTACTGTATTTTACTTAGGCCACAGTGTTAACGCCGTGTAAGTGACAAAACAGGATTTCCTGTAATACGGAGAGCATGTACATTAGTGTTTTGCAGCCTGTTTACTAATGGGGTATAATCAAGACCATCTTGGGCAGTTGCTCTCTCTTCGTAGTAGATTTGGTTTGTATAATGAAGATTCTTCAGTTTCCCCCCTTTATCTTACATCTGTAATCCTATAAATAGCAAAATCCATCCACAACATCCAACTCCCATCTACAGAATCTACCGAACACTCTTCCTTAGAAGACTTGTTGAAAAGCACTGCTTTGGGGGCACGTAAAAGAACTGAGGCTGACGTAGCGTTTATGTGCGCTGGGAAACCAAAGCATCCGTGGGACTCGCCTTATTGCACTGTTTGTTCTATTTCTGTAGTCGGAATCACACCTGGGGTAGCTCTGAGCGATGTCTGTGAAGCCTAAAGAGTTTTATTATAAATGGGGTTAAGTCTTCAAGTGTTCGGAAGAGCTTTAAAGTTTCTGCCCGCAACCCCAGAGTATCCACTCCCTCCAGAGAGCTGGACAAGGCAGCCTTCAGGAAGCATTTAGTAAGTCCCCTGGGTGTCCCTTCACTCGACCATCAGACCAGTTCAGGGTCTCCATATAGTCCCTGGGGGCTGCTGAGGTGGCCTCTTATGTGTGACTGGCTTCTGTCACCCCTGTTCAGTGCAGCCTGTACACAGCCACTGGAGTCACCTTCCTCAGTACAGCTTTGGGCATTATTTCTAGGACAACTTCATTTGTATCATGTGTTACATTTGACCCGGTGGTTTCCATGTGTGTTATTTGATTTAGGTCGTACAAAAATTCTAGGATATTCTATACTATAAGATTATCAACTCTGGTTTACAAAGTGACGTAGACACCAGAGGACACAGGTGAGTTTGCCCACGGTCGTTTCATTAAGTGATGGGCCAGAGGGAGCCCACAGCCTGCGTACTCCTACTGCAGGCATTTGGGGCTATTTACTTAAATCTGGGGTGCTCTTAATGTTTTGTGTGAGAGGACGGGGGCCCTTGCATCATCTTAAATTGTTACGGGAAACACAATGACTTATAGGATTATTTTCATTGCTTTGGAAGATAAGCCCCAATAATTGCTGGCAGAGAATGAGAAGGTAGGGGGCTCTTTACAAGGTTATATTACAGTAAGATAGCATGAGTATGAATGCCTTTTAAATATATAGCTCCTAGTTTTAATACTTATTTTTGTTTTTATTTTTGTTTTTAGTGTTAAACAACATTAAATTAACTCTAGCTGGAAACGTGCATTACTGAAGTATCTCCCAAGTAAGCTTAAGCATAGGATAACCATTTGGCTCTTCAGAGAGGACAGGAAAGGTGATTTTTCCTCAGCACAGACTGTTCACGAGGAAATACTTTCAATTAAATGAACAGTTGAAGCTGAAATCTTAAATAACTTAGGAATAATTGTGATCTATTCAGCCTCTCCCGTTCAAAGTTTATTCAGACCTAAAGATAATTCTGTTTTCTAATGCCACTGATGGACTAATATTACCTCACTATAATATTAATTTATTAAGTATTCATTAGTATTAAGAAATACTTAACCAGGCTACATTGTTTTGTTGTATTTGGTGAATAAAACTTGAGGCTAACATAATGTGTAATCCCTTATACAGCATCGATTTTTAAAATTCACACTTTCAGGCAGTTTTTTTAAAGAATGTCAGTTTTATGACAACCATGGGCATCCATGAAAGTTTCATAAAAAAAAAATAATTGAGTTGTCATAGAAAGGCTGAAGCCAGGCAAAACAGATCATTCTCTTTCCCCATAGACGTTCATATGCTAGTCTGCTGTGGTATGTTCCTAGCAAATGCCTTTGAAAACACTCAGTGAGGGGGAAACTTTGGCCGTGGGCCCTGTGGTCCTCAATGGAATGAGCCCTTCCCAGCGACACACCTGGGACCTGTGGCAAGTAAGAGGCCAGAACCTGCGAACCTGCAGAGCGTGCAGAGCCTGGTGCGTGTGCGGGAGCGGGGGCAAGGAGGTGGTCTGCCGACCGTAATGGCGGGTCACCGAGAGGTAGCTAGGAAACTCCATAGCCACCAGCAGGAAGTATGTCATTGCTCTTACTTAGCTCGGAGTCACTTACCAACGTGAGGATCACCACATTCCCAAAGCCAAAGCGTTTTAAAGAGCCTTCCTTTTTGTGAAAGGTACTATCATTTATTTTGTCTTAATACACTTTCCCGTTTTGGTGGTTAATCTGATGTGGCAGTGTGCAAATATGCTAGCTCAAGAAGAGTGTGTAAATACCCCTAATGGCCTAGAAATACTGACTTACCCATCAGTCTCTTCTCGGTTAGAGAGTAAGCTAAAGGAGAGGTTCATCTCATGGGTGGAATACTACCCGAATAGGAAAAGAAAGAGTTGTGAGAGATGAGACGATGGTGGAGAAAAGCCATGAGATCATATGCCATCCATCTGGAAAAAAAAAGTTAAATCCTGAACACTTGGTGGGCTCAGAAGCTGGGGAGGTGGAACTAACCAGCCCAATTCCTCAGGAACACCCCTTCTGGTCTGCCTGCGTCACATCATGATTTCACATCCGGATGAGCACACGACTGTCCATGTGAAATATCAGGTAGCTGGGGCCATTGCAACAACTGACAATTTCATTTCTCTTAGTGAGATGTTGAATGCTCTGTATATTGAGTCCCGACAGGGTGTGCATGGGCCCCAGTTTTCATATCAATAAAATCTAAAGATGGGAAACAATCCCTTTTTCAGGCAGTTGAAATAAGTTTTTTCAGCATACTCGGCTTTTTACTAGGTTTTAGAGAAGACCTCTAAAAGGAATTTGATTTGGGGCCTGTAAAGATCTCTAAAGCAGATTCCTATTACATAACTTAGGTCATTTTCTGGAATTTACATTTAGGTCTGTGTCTCTCCTCACCATGAGCTCCTTTGGGTAAGGAGTTCATCTTTGCACATCTCTGCTCCTAGTACAAGACCCAGAGTATAATAAGCGCTCCATGAAAGTTTGTTGATGCAGACAAGAAAAAATGGGCCTTACTGCAAAGGGTTATGGTTTAATTCATGAAGAGAAAGTTCAAATAAAGAGAAATAAGTGACGTGTGGGAAGTGAATTTTAAACACTTTTAGAACATCCTAGAAACAAATGCAAACTAGCATTGTGCTAGGTAAGAGAATAAGAACTGTGGACTTCTCTGCATGGTCTCTCACCCTTTGGTGTGCTAGTCTGGGCTTTATCAGCCTCAATGTGCGAACGCTTTCAGTTCTCTAAACGTATCACATCTGCTAATATCCACTAGCCAAAGAGAGTCATATGGCCAAGCTCAGAGTGAGTTGAGGAGCATATTAGCAAAAGATGTGGATATAGGGAGATTGATTGAGGGCACTGCAATCCACCCACCAGAGAAGGAAAGGACTCCCAGCCATATCAGCCTCTAATCATTGTGTATAGTGTGGCTGCAGTTGTGCGAAAAATAACCTAGCATAACTGCATGTGCACACACACATATACATCTGTAAAACTATAAAGATTCAGAAGATACCAAAACAATGCTAATAATACTTGCATATACACATCTGTATTTTTTATTTTTTTAAATATTTTTTAAAAGTTAAGGTTTGTTTTCAGATGGGTGATTTTTTAAGGGAAATGTCTAGAAGTTTATACAAAAAAAATGTGATTGTAGGTGATGTTTCACTTTTTAAAATTTGCCAAATACATGTAAGACCACATTTTTAAAACCATACTGCATCAGGCCTCGGGTATATTCTTCCATCTGGTCTTCATCATGACACCGGAAGGAGACAGTTGAACAGTTGAGTTGATGACAAAATCTTCTAAGACACAGTGTCTTACTCTGTCTGCAAACCTGGCTGTGAAGTGTGCAGCTGACACAGGTGCCTTCTGGGTTTTCTTTCAGACGTTCTTCCGGCCTTGAAGAGGAGACCCTCGTGTTTGTCTGGGCAGAAGGTGCCCTTGGATTTACTGATGATGCTGCAGATGCTCTGAGACCTTTCACGTTCTATGAGTATCACGTCAGAGCCCATAACTCCAGGGGCTCAGTGGAGAGTCTGTGGTCAACAGTGCGGACTCTGGAAGCCCCGCCCCAAGACTTGCCAGCGCCCTGGGCTCAAGCCACTGGTGCCCATTCAGTTCTGCTGAGCTGGACGAAGCCAGACTTTCCCAATGGCGTCATCTCCCAGTACCGCGTGGTCTACCGAGAGAGAGCCGACGATCCGACATTCACCCTCCCAACCGTGCATGCGTTCACAGTAATGGTGAGTCCTTAGAAAAATAACAGATGCTTAGCTTCTCGGGCTAATATGTTGAAATTCATTTTTTTATCCGATGTTATTTTTCTTCACTTAGGGATTAAATATATGAAAATTATTCCCATGTGAAAAGAAGCAGTGTAGTCATGGGGATAAGATGCAGAACTGAGTATAAGGGATGTTGGAAACGGGTTTGCAGACCACAGTTAGTTTGTATTACCTCGAGCAAATAAGTGAATCTCTCTTTACCTGGTGTCTAAATCCATTGAATGGGAACATTAGAGGTCCTCCTTCATACCCCATGGGGATGCGACTCAGATGAAATGAGACAGAAATTTAATTGTTTTCTTTCTCCAAAAGCCAGTTACATACGATATCTGTCTAGGATAGGGATTTTATGAACGAAACACTGTCAACGTGATAGATAGAAATAGATATCTGTAGATAGATCAAGGTACGCGATATGATTGGCTCTGTGAGGAAGAAGAAAATTAAATTTCTACATACATAAGGATGTACAGACATAGCTCTGGATGTCACAGGCGCCATAACTTGTGATTTTCCTGGATTGGACCCACCCCTGGCCCACATCACCTGGTATCTCCTGTGAGCCCCCGTTATGACTGCCACAGCCTGATGTTGTATGGGACACACAGAAGCAGAATGGTGGTCCTTGTTTCAGGGAGCGTTCTCCTTTATAATAGTGCAGCGATGAGAACTGAACATAAAAAAAATAAAATAAAATAAATAAAAAGAAAAAAAAACAGTGAAGTAGTAGATTGCAGCCTACCGTGTTCATCACCCTGAGACTGAGACTCATACTCTGCCACCTATTAGGTCTAAACCGCATTGCAAGAGCTAATGATACCATATACCAAGTGTCAGGCAGCAGAATGCTCTGAGAAGCCAGCAGAAAGCCCACCTACTGAAGCGAAGATGGAACCCTGTGGTCTGAGGAGTTCAATACATACGGTTTTCAAAATGTGCCAAGATCTTACTAAATAAGAAAACCCCTCATAAGTAAGAAAACATGACCAGACAACATAAAGCGTTATTTTCAAAGACCAAACCATGTTTCCATGCTTTCGGTTTAGGCAGCTCAGATTCCATGAAGATTTATCTTATAAAATATAACACTTATCAAAATATCTAAATAGTGCTGGACAAATATATTTAATGAAGCTGCAGAAGAATTTTTGTAAATGAATAGTTTAAAGTGCCATGTTTTCTCACAGTCCTTACGTTTAATTTTCTCATATGGCTAAAAAATAAGCAACGCGTGAATAGAAGGGATGATATTTTTTTAATCTTTGTTTCAGAATTGGTACTTTATTTAATTTCACATTTAATTATCTTTATATATCAGGATATTTCATGTTACATCTTCTAAGTCGTTCATTATAAACATAAGAAGCAATGTTCTTAAGTGTAGAATATCTGTTGTAGTTGATATGTGAAATATATTACTTCTTATCATATCCTTGAAATTTATGTTCTAAACTTCTACCCTGAAAGGAAAAAAAAAAACTGAAAAACTAGTAAAACTATTTGACAAGAGCTTTCTGATTGAGACAACGTAGTTTAAATATATTTTATTGAAGGCACCCGTATTACAATGATTAAAGGTCTGATCTTTTAAAATATGGTTTTCAGGAGTATAAGCCTAACCACCCAATCTCCCAAAACAGTTTTATTTTAATTCCCTTGTGGAATAGTCTCTAAGTCAGCCTTTTATAGCTGGCTTCACTTTATAACAGGAGACTTGAAGACGTTTTATTACATTAACAATTTCTGAAAAAAAAGGAAGGCCTATGGCCCCACGCTTTAAGCTTCACAGAACCCTCCCTGAGCCCAGCCCCCGACATGGCTTCTGTTCTGATAGCTCAGTGTTGCTGCTTTCTTCCATTTTTCTAAGGATTACCCCTCGCAATGCTAAAGAGAATAGCCATGATAATCGAGACAATAGTATTTCTGCATACTGTTTTTGAATTTGTGTGTGTGTGTGTGTGTGTGTGTGTGTTGAAAGTGGCCCCCCCAAATCTGGATTTTTGGACCGAGTACCCCAGGAGAAGACTTCATCAGGTTCATCAGGAAAAGTCCCAATTCAGGTTTCAGCAACAAGGATGGCTTCCACAGAGCCACAGGGCTGTGCCCAGACATTCTGGCCATAGGCCACATGACCATAGCAGGGGGCCACTGTGATTCTTTATGGACTGGCATCTTTGAAAGAAGTAATCATAAAAACAGTCTTTGAATTTCGTGCATTCCTACACTCCCGAGGGAATGTGTTCAACCATTTTTTTTAAGCTGTCTGAAAGAGGAGGTCCTACCACTTGACCCCCAGTTTCTTACCACCAGGGAAGGGCCACATCCCTCCTCCTGTAGTTGAAGTCCATCTCGTCCTGTTCAGAGCAGCAGGGCTTCTCTAGAATAGTGCACTGGGTCTCCAGGGTCAAGAACAGATTATTGACGATTCAATCCAATTTGGCAAATGGTCATTGAGTACTATATTCAATCTGTCGATACTCAGTTCGACACTCAAGGATATTTATGAAGTCGGCACGAGACTGCAGAGCAGAGACCATGAGGGAAGAGGAGTCATCAAGTCTGAGGCAGATTCTGATGACTGCTGGGCCTTTCCAGTGTTTCAGGGTCTTTGCTTCTGAGTTTCTGCTGTTCATGCGATCGTGATTCCCGTTTAAACCTTTCTCTGAGCACCTTTCTGGCTCTACTTACTATTTCCCTAATTCCTACACCAGCTCAGCATCTTCACCGTCTCCTTCCGCTTCTGTGCCTGCCCTAGGCGGTCTTTCAAGCTTTTGTTTCATAGACGGTTTTGGCTGAAATTCCCCAGAGCAAAGGAACTATATTTTCAATCAGTGAGAGACAGAATCCATCCTCACAAGTGCAGGATTACAGTTCCGCCCAAGGACTTGCGAGAGGTATCACTACCCCCAACCCCCCCCCACACACACACACACATACACTTAGTCACTTGTTTAATCGGACCCCGTCTCTGCCCAAGGGACCACCAGTAAGTGGCCCACCATGTCGTGCCATCAGCAGCTATCCCAGAACTGTTTACAGACAGGTGGATGTGTCTGGGAGAGCCACATAAACAGATGCGATGGATGCATGGAGCCTCCTGACAGTGGCAGTGGGTGGAAAGCTGGCAGTGGGGGCCCTCCGTGGGGGGGGGGAGAGCATATGTGTTGGCAGGAGCTGCGGCAGCAGCAGCTGAGGCAGCAGGAGAGGAGAAATGGAGAGAGTGTGGGTTTTAATGTATCACCAGCTTCTCTCCCAACCTTATGAAAAGCTCCATCTCCCTTTGGGCCTAAGTAGGTCCTCCTAAGGGGAACAGCGAGAGATCTAGGTTCTTAGGGTCCCTTTGGACTAATACCCGCCACTACGGAAAACACGCTTTAGGTAGAAGTCCTCCATCTCCCTTAGCTCTATGATGAATAGTGCAGTGTCAGGAGAGAACAGTGCCTAGCCTTGCTTGGCATCAGGAGTTCCACGCTGGTGTTTGCAGGGAACACTCCTGGCGAGGCTGGCGGCTCTGCTGCCACCATTCCAATTTGTTTGCTTTTTCTCCCTGGCACCTGCCATCGCACTGGGATTTAAAGGTGAAGGTGGTTTACCTGTTCGTCTGTGCTCTGAGCACTTCGGTGCCCACCCCACAGGGTGATAAAGCATCAAGCCCAGATCATACGTTTGCCCTGTAGCCTTAAAGGGAGATGGCACCTCACCCTGTGTAGAGAGTCAAGCATACGGTGCCAATCAGATGGGTCACTAAAAGTTGGCTTCCAATCTGGAAATAAAATCCAGAATTACAAACTCTAGTGTCTAGATTCTAGTTGCCAAGTCCCTGCCCAATGTCAAGGAGGAGATATTCAAAATCTCCTCATGTGGTCGTCTCAAATTCCTTTACTATTAAGTAGCTATGGTGAAGGGGGTGAGATACTTCGAAATCACCATATTATGGAAAGTTTGTGAGTTAATTGATGAATTGATTTTTAACTCCATTTTCATTTTGCCTGAGTGTAATGGAAAATATTATTATTCTTTACATATGATCTTCACTTAGTTGTAACTCTTAAAGTGTCATGATCCTTAGCCTCTTCTGCCTAGATCCATCTGTAAGACAAATGTGCTGGGAGATCTAGCTCTCTCAAAGGACTCCTTGGCGACTATCTTTCCAAAATGAAAAACACACAAAAAAAAATCTGGTAATAGAAACAATCATCATAAATTCTGCACTAGTTCTCTAAGCTGAGCTTTTCACATTTTATAATCTGTCATTCATTCCTTTATATAAAAGATACAAAATATGGGTGGCTAAATGTCACACCGAACAGTAGGTTGTTGGCACAGCCCATTTCTTTAACTGTACTGATGTATTTGGTTTCATATTAACTTTATTCCTTTTTTTTTTAATAGTACCCTGCCAATCACAAATATTTATTGGAGATCTAATTTTTGCTCAGTAGTATTGGAAATTCAGAAAGATGTAGATCCACACAGGTCTTCATGACCTTTGTATAACTACTTCTCTGAAACAGCTTTATTTTTCTCCAACCACTTTATTCCGACAGCTTCATCAGCCCTCTCTCGCTTGCTCATCAGTCATCTCCAGGGTACGGGCCATGGTTCTCTGGTCACTTTCAGTGACAGCGACCAGCCCAGTTTGGGTAATCAGGACCCATGCGAGGTGTTTTAAAATAATCCAGTCTAAAGCCTGCCTTTTGGTAAGGGATCTACAGTGAGGAAGAGAGGGCTTGTCCATTTTCTTCCCTCTTCTTCAGTTCTCTCTTCTTCTTTTGTTGATTTCCCCCAGGATCTTGGCAGAAAAGATGGAATCAGACAGAAAGGAGCAGAGCCTTACTCATTAGTATTGTTCTAAGCCATCCATCATTGCTTTTTGTGGGGCAGGTGTCTTGTGGGATCTTCCCTGTGGGTTATGTAAAGTCCCCCATGGGGAACCCCATGTTTCATTGTCCCTGATG